AACGCTTGGATTAACCTAAAGTTGGGCAAAATCATCTAACACAAAGCCTGTTTGAAACTGTTAACATCATACTGGAAGTGAAAACAGAATGGCTGTGTGGCGGAGAATGGCTGTAGTGCGCGGCTGTTTATGCTCGGGACGGCTCAGCCCACTGGGGTTTGTGGCTCCCTGGTGTGGCTCACCAGAATCACGAGAGGGTTATCGTACCATGTATCACTAGCCTGGAAAATGATCAAAATTCACAATTTGAAGTATAATTTCTACAGAATGCATATAGCTTTCGTACCACCATTAAGCTGACATCATCATAAGTCGGGGACCATCTGTATACCCAAGATAGCTCCTGCCCTCATGGAGTTCACAGCATACAAGGGGAATGTGTAAGTAACAATACTAGAGAGTGGCAGCTCTATCTTCGTGCATCTTTGTATTCGGGTCTCCACTGATATCTGAAAGTGGAGCATTCCTACCTTCCCTAAGTCAAAATGGCATAAAGCAAAGAGTATCCCTCACTTTCCAAAGTGAAAGACCTATATTAGTTACTACCTGTATTCATTAACCAAAAGAAATTCAGAGGGGATTTTCACTTTCACAAAAAAAAAAAGCCATTACTAAGCTAATATAGGTCTTCCATAAAAGCAAAGCGGCGTAACACTAACTTCTGGAAAGTGGGGGATACCTGCACACTGACAACACATAAAAGATGAGACCTACCGGCAGGAAATTAAAGACCCGTGAAAATGATGCAAAACAATATTTAAAGTAAATAGTGAAAACACGAATGACTGAATTTTATAATACAGCTGTATCAGTGATCCAATCTGGGGACTGGGTCTGCCAGAACCAATGAATTTCTTTACATTTTATTTGAAGAAAAGTATAGCAAAAGGAGAGGGCCTTGAGGTACATTTAATTAACAGAATAGTATTTGCCAAAAACTGACTAGCAATATACAAAATACTCATAAAATTAACATAACTTGGTCATAAACTGGCTACAGACTATCTGCTGCTTTAGTGTCATTATGTAACTAAATTAATATTTCTGTGAAAACTTTGGGATTCAAGATATAGAAACTTCCAATATTTGCATATGTAATCTTAATTTAATTTTCAATACCCAAAAGCAAGAATAAAATATAATTCAGGTTAATATGAAATGAATCACATGTCAACATAAATTAAAATGCGGGAAATTCTCTTTTATAAAAATTATGTTTTTATTAATATTAAGGACTTCCATGATTCTAACATGCAACTGCATATTTTTGAAATAAGTTTATTTCACATGAATCATACATATTTTGGTTGTGAAATTCTAAATATCTTTAAGGTGAAAATTATTCTGATTATCAAGCTACAAACAGAAAAATTCTAAGGAAGAAAAGGTACTGTCACAATCAAGTACAGAAGAGTAATTTAAAAATTTCCTTTAAGAGTATGATCCAAATGCAGAGAGAAGAGAAGAACTTAGCCCACAAAATCCCCTCAAAGAATCCTGTTATGCTTTCAATACCATACAGTGTGCCACTTAAATGTTAAAAAAATTATCAGAGGAAATGTCATTTTGTACAACTAAACATACACTGACATATCACACAGTAATTCTTGGGGGAAAAAAACTATAAATTAAATGCTATAGACTTATGCTATCTAAGGTATCTATTTTTAAAACTCTTATTGTGATTTAAGTAAATATTAACACTCAATTTTATCTTTTCTAAAAATATGGTTATATTGAAATCTCTGATAAGAAAACTTTCATGTTATAAACAAGGAGCACGTGATATTTACTTGCAATTACAAGGGAAAACACAAACATGTTGAGTATGTTTACAAAGGAAGCAATGGAGTAAGTAGTTATGCCTGTTTTATCACTGAAATAGGCGACAAAATTCCTTGTCTATAAACGTTCTTATCCTGCCAAATTAAATAATTCCTCCCTAAGCCGAAGTGCTGATGACCCGTTTCCTTCACTGGCAAAGAAGGCTACAGCGCACAGTCCTTGACGACACACGCTCCCTGCACCGCTGTTTGCAATGACTTTCTCATCTTCCTGATGTCGTCCACCCTATATTTGAATGTTTTAGGTCAACAATCGTTAACATTATACAAAACCCATCCATCTACAATGCGTATGATTCATTTTGTCAGTACACTGGTGATTCTTCAACAAACTCCCACAATCCACCAGAGCAACAGGAAAAGATCTGCACCTTTGGCATACAACACAAAATTATAGGCATGCTGTGTTGAAGAAGTCTGACAGTTCACTGCATGCTTAAATTTTACTCTGAAAAACTTTCAATTCTTTGGACAAGGTTTATGATAAACAGCACCTAAGAAGTGTGTGGATTCTCACACTATAAAGAATGTACATGAAAAACAGAAGGAAAAATATCCTGACAAAGGTGACTGAGGAGACGGGGTGCTGGTTAAGGCAGACACTGCTTTGTTTTCAAGTTTCGCAGTTCCTTTCCTTTCTTTTCTGTCACAAAGGCACTGTAGCAGGCATTTCACTATTTCCACCTACTTTCTTATTTTGTTTTGAATTGAGATTGAAAATTGAAAAAACTCTTTTTTTAGATAATATTAGAGGCTTCTATCCTCTAACAAGCAATTGAGTGCTCTTAATGGATTTTACTGATTTACTTACTAAGCAAATAGAATTGTTTTGATAATTATTTTTAAATGCCTGCGATTTCCAAATATTTCAGAATCAGCTTAAATTTTCACATGACATTTTCCTCATGAGTGTATTAGAAAGATAAAGCCCTAAACCTACAATTCAAGAAACACTAACTCCAAATGGCCAATTCATATACCACAATCAATATAATTAACGACTTAATAGTAAACAGCTCCTTTTGTCATTTATTCTTTTCCACAAAAGTTCCCAATGTAAAGATCTACTGCATTTTTTAAATACACACAAAGGAATTTTAAACCTAACTTCTTTGATTCCTAAAATCAATGTAGTTACAAGGTCTTGAGTGGACTTGGGGATATATATATATATGCACACGCACACACACACATATCCAAGTATTAACTTTTTTCTGATTACTCTAAGGAAGCTGAACAGTAAAGTTAATCTCTAAATTAACGTTTGCATACTGACACTTCATGTCAGATTCCCAGTGCACTTAAGTTAGTTCCTTTTATACCTCAAAAGAAATCATTTTCCTTCCTTCCTTAACCTGCTGTGTACCTACAGAACCTCATCTGTTAAGAACTGATCCAGCACACATCACTACTGCTGCAGTCCAAACTGGTCACACATTCAAATCACTTTCCAGCTTGTGGGAGCTCTGTTCCTCTCATCACGTTAAAATGTATTAAGTAAGCCTACAAATACTCTTTAAAATAACCTAGTGCAACATCATCTTAAGTAAAAACGGTATAGGTGAAACAAAAGCTAGAAAAAACTTTAATATTGTGTTCTTTTAAATTTACATAAACAGTACCTTCTAACATATGAACATATTTTGAGATTTCATCTTTCTCTGTAAAAAGAAAAAAAAGGCAAGTACTGACCTATTACAGCTGGTTAAAATTAAAACTCCCATGAACACAATATTTCTGTTACCTCCTGTTTTTAAAAGAATTTGGTTATATCAAGCTTACGCTGACTCTTATGGTGATTTATTTGAAGGGTACCCAGAAATAGACATAGGTGCTTTGTATTTCAAGAGTAATAAATATAAGAAGTAAAAAGAGATAGATATTCTCTATCTTTAGCTTGACACACTGGAAAAAAAAAAAAAAGCTTTAACTTTTCTGTGAATTTAAGAGGTCCATAAACTGTAGACATCAGTCCATGTCTCAGGGCAGCACTGCTACAGCTGCAGCTTTCCATTGTCCCATACAGCAAATAAAAATAATTGTTTAGCCGAAAATCAGACTGGCTGGTTATAAAATCTCCTTGCAAGCGTATTCCTGCGATTCCACAACAAATACAACAGTCAACTGCCTGCTCTTGATTGAAGCCTTGCTTTCTCAAATCCAACCTTACAGTAAGTCAGAGGCTGGATATTGCGGAGGAAACTGTTTAAAAAGCTTTGCTGCAGCCAAAACGGCATTTCCCAAACATTAAAAATGAACTACTCTTAATTACCCACAATTTATGATTCCCCTCTCTTTATGGCTTCCCATTTCTTTCCCTGACATCTTGAACGCTTCTTAGGCTCTCTGGAGATAGCGCAAAACATTAAGTCATACACAGTTCTGCAGTAACTCTTTCTTATCACGAAAGACACCGAGCCCAGAGCTGCAGGTAACACCTCTCCTCTAGTCTTTATCCACCTGCCACGCTCTCTAAAGGCAACCAGAGACGCCAACCTGTATGATTTGGTGCCCTAACATTCAAACACCTCGTGTGCGCAAAGAACGACTAAGAGGTCAGATATTCGGGGCATCATTACAAAGAAAGGAAGGCCGCCTAAAAAGACATGGGTGCGGGGGGTGGGGTGGGGTGCAGCCACAACACTCTCCATCCTCGCTTCGGAATATATTTAAAAAGCAGATGCGGAACGGCATCATTTTCCTCTTGCAAAAACATCACAGCCCGGCTGCTCAAGTTAGAGCTAATGCGCTTCTCCCATTTCGGGAGCACGGGGGAATTGGGGCTCCAGAGAGAGCGGCAAGGCTTCCATTCTCGGAGAGCGACGCCGCGGACAATTAAGAGTGTGGCAGAAAAAGCACCTCCGAGAAAAGGACGCCTCCTCTCCCCCTAACTCAACTCTCGAGTCGACCCCAAACCTGCACGGCCAGGACCCACTTACTCCTCACGGTCAAGAGAACGATGAGCAGCGTGAACTTGGGCACTGCGCTCGGGAGGCAGGGAGGCCCCGAGGCGGCGCGGCTGCGGCCGCGCGCAGGCGGGTCACCCGCCGGGCAGCCCCGGCTGGCCGCCCCGGGGCTCCGGGGACGCGCTGCGGGTGCGCCCCGGGGCTGGGGGTGGGGGGCACGGGGGCGGGGGGCGCGCGCCGGGCCCCTTACCAGGTTGAGCACCGTCTCCACGATGTCCCTGTTGCTGACCTCTCCGACCTGTATGAGTCCGATCAGCACTGCGAATTTCATGCGGATGTTGCGGATCGGCACCGAAGGGTTAATCATCCCCGCGGGCAGCACCACGGCGCCGGGCCCCGCCGCGCCCCTCAGCTCCCCCATGCCGCCGCCCCCGGCCCCGACGGCGATGAGCCCCGCGGGCTGCGGCTCGAGCCCCGGGCCCGGCTTCTCGCTCGCCATTCGCCCCGCTCCCGGGCGGCCGGGCAGCGCAGAGGCGCCGCCTCCGCCGGCTCCGGCACACCTGCCGCGGCCCCCGCCGCCCGGCCGGCGCCTCGGGGCCCCAGCATCCACCAGCGCCGCGGCGCCGGGCCCGCTCCGCGCCCGCCCCGGCGGAGGCGCCGGGTTATTCTCAGGCTTATTCCCGGCGGGGGCGCGCCGCTACCCGCGGCCCGGCCGGCGGCGGTGTCCGCCCAGCCGCGGGGCCGCGCCGCCGCCGCCGCCGCCGCCTCCGCGCTCCCCGCCCGCCCGTCCGGCCCGGCCCGCCCCCCGCGGAGATGCTGCTGCCGCCGCTCCGGGGAGGCCCGGCGCGCCCGCCACCCGCCGCGGCGCTGCCCGGTGCCGGGGCTCGGGCGACGGCCGACGTCCCTGCCGCTGCGCCGCCGCTACTGCGGGCGCCGCTGTTGTTGTGAAGCCCCGACGCCGCCGCCGCTACTCCGCCATGTTGCCGCCCCCCGCCTGCGGTAGCGGCCACCGCGCGTGCGCAGACCTCCGGGGGCGGAGCCCTCGGCGCACCCCCGCCCCCCGCCCGGCCCGCCTGCTCCCCGCTCGCACCGCCCCGGCACCCCGCGGCCCTCCCCCAGCCGCCGTCACCGGACGGACAGGTGAGCAGGTGCGTGGGGCCCGCCGCCTGGCCCCGGGCGCGCTGGCGGAGGCGGGGCGGGGCGGGCGCTGCTTTCTCGTGGGCTTTCCCGGGAGGGCGGATTCTACCCGGCGGGAAGGGCACCCCGAGAGTGCGTGTCTGGCCTTCGCTGCCACCTCCTGCGGGGAGGTGGTTCACCGTCCTCGTCGTCTTGCTTGCATCCAGCAGCAGCTCCTGCCGGTGCCACGGGCCGTGCAAGGTGCGGGAGTGGCGGCCGCCCTCTTCCTGCCCCTCTCCTCCCTTCCTGGGAGCCCTGCCCGCCGGGCCAGCACCCCGCGCACCCGCCGCCACGCCCGGATTTCCCCAAGACAAAGTGGCTGGCAAAGCAGAAACGCACGCACCGTGGGGAACGGTCCCGCATTGTCTAGGGAGGGACACAGGTGGAGCGCAAAGGGCCTTTCCCTACAGCCCCCAAAGGGTCTGACACCTTCGCACACAGGCAGGACTCAACTTAGAGATCCGCTCTGGTTGGAGCTCTGCCAATAGACGGCTCTTGAACTCACCTCCCGCTCTGAAAAGGCTGCCCTGTGTGACGCAGTGGGGTAGTTTGGTGACAGCTACAGTTCCACATTTTTAAAATCCTCAGGCATGATGCTAATGAATGATACCTCTGTTTTTCGTAGGCCTGTACAGTTCAGAGGATTTTGAACTTATCTACCAATATAGATAATTCTCACTGCCAGCCTTCATCTGTGATAAAAGTCAATTTCTCTGTCGGCACAATGCAGAAACAAAAAAATTACTTTTAGTTTAAAAACATTAAAATGCACATGATAATCTTGCTGCTAGTATTGAATTCAAACTAAAGAGGCATGACCTCTATTTTCTTTCTCGAAATGAAAGATGTAATTTTCTTAATTTTTCATGAGGTATGCTCTTTTCAATAAAGATATATTACAAGTCATGAAAACGATTAGGTATCCTGAGGTATATTCAGATCATTTTAATAGCACAAATAAAAAGCATCAATATACAAAACTGTCATAATCCAGTTTGTTATTACTCATATTTAGTTGAACTTACTAGTCAAGTTTACTCCCAGGATACTGGGGTCATGGTAAAATTCTAAAGTACAATAGATCATGTATAACGAAGTTCCTCAGAAACAGTGTTTAGGATTAGTTAGTTTCTTGTTATGTGTGTGTTTAAACTTTTACTGAAGTGAATCATTAAAACTGCAAAAATTTCTGAAAGAAACAGTAATTGGTATGTCTATTTAAATTAAATAGAAATTGAATTCTAAAATGCTAGAATAATTGAAACTGTGTGGAAAATGTATAAAACCAATAACCAATAACCTTTAATAGTGTAACTTAGATATGCTATATTGAAAAACTCTGTGACAAATATATCCACCTATATAGCATTTTCTCTGTCCCAAATGAGTGCCATCTACTTTTGTGAGCACTATTTTCATTTGCACATTTAAAACAATGTATCTAAAGTATGTAAATCCAAGCTGAAAGATTATCACAGAAGCTTTTTTTCAACCCACTGTGCGTATATGTGTAAGGCAGCAGGTCCTACCTCTTACTGTTGACAACCTGCACTTTCTATTTCCTTTCTGAATGAATAGCTTGACATCATTTTAATGTTTTCACTTTAATTTTCCCGGGTCTGTGTTTTCAAGTAACGTGTGTGTGTTTTGGTTTTCTTGTTCATTTTCCTTTAGTGGACACACGGAGTGGGTAAAGAGGATATCACTATTTCAAAGTAGGAAAACCCCATTTCTGTTGTGTACTTAACTCGGTATCAGAGATATTTGAAAGAGGTTACCAATTAAAAGCCTTGTCCCGTATGCTGTCAGCTCCTCACGGAAGTGTGGTACTGTGGGAAGAGCAAAGGCTTCTGAAGCACACTCCCGGTTACTACCTGTGCCATCCACTCTCTTCATTCACTAACAAGGATGAAAATCTGTCCATAGGAAAGTGAGAATTCAGTGAAATAATTCCAGCTCAGCAGCCAGCATATAGTAAACGTGTCCTTGTACACTTAGTATACTTAGTATAACTGAAATAAAGTATACTGAAATAACCTGTAAACACAAGTAAGACCAGTTATAAACACATACAAGTCTTTCCAGTTGCCCTGCTATATGTTTTCAATACTATCCCCAAGTGCATAAAGTTTAGAAAAGAAATGTTTTCATTTACCCTACAAAGCCTATTTCTCTGCTAATGTACAAACAGCATTTGCATTAAGAATCTTTCAAAGTAAAAGAGAGTTTTATAATAGTAGAAGCTCCCTAAAGGTTGATTTTTAAATCTTCAGATTAAAGAAATATTCTAGAGCATATTAATTTTATCTGGTTTTGCTTTAATAGATGTATATCCATACTTCCAAGGGACAATTCTTCAAATATAAAGATTTTCAAGAGCCCTATTGCATAGTAATTAAAAACACATGCTCTAGACTCAGGTAGAACCTGGGTTTGGATTCCAGGCCCCACACTCACTTTTCTGTGTGATCTTGGGCAAAGGACTTCTCTTCAAAGCCTTAGTTTTTCAAAACCAACCCAAGGTGGAGACTTACAGAATTAAAGGATAAAAGAACACAATACATTTAAGGTACGTAATTTAAGGTAGGAGCAAGTGTCAGTAAGTAATGTTTCCCTTCGTTAGCTGTGGGAAAACACAATGTTGTAGTTATTTTTTTGTTTGTTTCAGCACCTAACATGCCTGGCTAGTAATTTACATTTCATAAACCTGTTTGAAAATGAGTGAGTGAAAAGAGCAGTTCTTCCAGGCTAAATATTCGCGTTCCCTTCACCTGTTCTTTAAAGAACAGATTTCCTGCTTTCCTCGAAACGTTGTCCGAACAGAGTACTCCAAAATCTAGGTAGGTCAGGAACAGTATAAAACAGGGAAGCTCTTACTGAGCCTCAACATTTAGAAACCGAGTCCCTGTTCATGTCGCCCCAAATCAAATCAGCTCGGTTTGGTTTGATTTGGTTTGGTTCTGGGTTTTTCAGCAAAATAACAGTCATGATTCATATTCAGCATGTATAGGTTCTCAAATAATTTCAGTTCCATTCCCCTTTCATGTTAAAATGAATATCAACTGAAAGACCAGAGTTTTTATTTGCAGTTATTTAGTTTTTGAACATGCTGCTAAGCAGCAGCCTATATCTAATATTTAGCTTTGCATGTAGATTTTGAGATACAAAGGGCAGAACTATACATACTATTTAAATTTAATTTAACTGTATTGTTATTTTATTCAAATTTTCCACTTAATCTGGGTAGATTTTCTTAATCCTGATTATATCATGCAAAATATGTATCTTATTCTTCTTACCTGCAACTTTGAGAACAATCCTTCTATATCTCTTTCTAAATGTCTGATTGAACAGGATAAAAACAGCTTTATAGTCACTAGCAACATTATGACTGAAATCAACTCACCTTTTTCAAATGGTGGGCCTCAACCCATTAGTGAGTCATGAAACAGATTTAGGAGGTTGCAACCACCAGTTTTTTAAATTAATGGAACAGAAAAACATTGAATGGAAAATACCATAGTACATCCATTGTTTTAATTATCACACCCATACACATCAACAAATACATGTACATGCATGCTTGCTACAAGTCATAGTCAGATTCTGAAAACCACTGATTTAAGTTGTTTATAAGTACCTTTTTGATAATAATCCTTCAACTATTAAATAGCTACCATCCTGTGCTAACAACAAGCCCTTCTTTCTCTAACATATTCACAGGGATATCCTCAGCGACCTTGACAACTAACTAGTTTAAGTTGGGATATGCTCTGTATCTGAGCAAAATTAAGGTAGATGATAGATAGATAGATAGATAGATAGATAGATAGATAGATAGATAGATAGATAGATAGATAGATAGATAGATATAGATAGATAGATGATAGATAGATACATGTTAATTGTTATCAATTTTCCCCAAAGTTTTATCACAAATAAGAAAATGTGTTTGATCTGAGGACACAACTTAATGCTTTCTTTTCTAATAAATGAACCATCGTAAAACCTCACCTACAGGTAATATTAAGCTACCTGCTGTGGGTTTTCAAGAATGTATCTCCTCCTTCTCCCTTTAGCACTTTAATCATGGTACTTTTACTTCTCTGTGACTCCTCAAAGGCCACTGAGAGTTGTTCAGTGATCTGGTTTTCAGATTCTTTCAGAATCGATAGATACAATTTGTCCTGCCTTGGGGACCTAAAATCATTTAGACAAGCTAGGTGCCTATTAACAATTTCTTCACCAAATTTAAACGTCAGTTGCCTACAGTTTCTATTAGTTCTACCTTTTTTCACTCCCCTACTTTTTCTCCTGAACAGAAAATACAGACACAAAAGAGAAATTCAATTTATAATAACGAATTTAACCCAATTTCAAAATGTTGATGCTTACCACCCAACAAATACCGAAGGTCCTGCTGTGCAAGAACAGTTGAAATGGATTATTTCAAATGTTCCTTTTAGAGAAATGTCGTGTTTGCACATAGAAAGTTAATTGGCAAGTACACATTAAAAA